CAGATATAAATTGAGTAATAAAGTTTTCTCTCCTGCCTCTCATTTCCTTCCCAACTATAACCAATAATCAATATTACCATTTTAATGTGTTCTACTATGAGTGTGCAGGCATATGCATAGGAGCCTGTTCTTCTCATTCTTCTGGGCTCTGGTTTTTCACTAAATTATACTGGACAACTTTCTCTTCACACTTTTTTTTCTTTCTGGCTCTGTTGAATTCACCATGTATAAATAATCAATTATTGATTTTAGCAGCTCTCTGTTGAGCATGTAGATAATATCCATCTTAGTTTGCAATGGTAATAGTAAAGGTCCTCCTGAATTACATATCAGAGCTATTTTGTTAATGTTCCTCCCCTTGGGATTAAAGTCCCCGATGAGAGCAAGTGTTCTCGTCTCTCTCAAAGTGTGTCACAAGTGTGTCCTCTTTTCCTTTTCCTACTTTCCTCACATTCAGCTCTGCACATCCCTAAGCTCTGCCACAAGCAGTACACACCCACCTGCATCCCTGCTAGAATACCCTGTGAAAAAATGTTGGTGGCTCAAAAGGTAGAACTGTAGCAAGAATGATTCATCAGGACCCCTCACCCATTGTCTGCCAAAAGTTTCCCTGTTAAAGCTGCTTAATGATTTCTTAATTGCAAAAGCAAATGCCACCATTTTGACGATGCAGCAGAATTTAGAATTACTTATTATCCCATCTCTAGTTCTTCTTGTCCCCATTAATTGTAGAGTCTTTAGGACTCGTGGAGAAATGGGGAGGCCTGAGGCCTGAAGACATTGAATTTTGGAGAAAAAAAATTAAATACCCATAACTCCCAGGTTCCACCAACCCAGCAGATGATGGGTTGCTTAAACAAATATGAACTCAAGGTATGCAAAGCTAGTCCCTCAGCCAGAAATGTCTGGAGTCTTATACCTTATCCATCCTTGAACAAGAACTCAGAGTAAATTCTACTTTCTGAGGCTGCTCCAGTTGTCTCCCTTTGCTGTCTTGGCAGTTTACATAGGCCCCTGCTTCTAACGTATCACACCACGCTTACATTGACAGTATCTGAGTAGCTCTGGCAGCTGCCACAGGCTGAGCCTTTCAGTCAGTTGCTCATGTTGTCTTCCCTTGGCATTTATTTTTGTATAGGTGTTTCTCCACTTATGATTGACTGATGTATTTGTTGGGGGAAGATTGAGAAAAAAGTAAGACTTAAATTTAAGTCATAAGCATTCAGTATGGTGTTGGCATATTTTCCTGCTAAAATATCAGTTCTGTAGAAATAGCCTATGAGAATGTCACCAAATTAGAGATTTTTCCCTGTTATGTCTGGGCAAAATAATAAGGATTAATTTGTTTCATCATAAAAAACACATGAAATAAGTTCAACTTCTCAGACTGCAATAATCTCTTGACATCTTGATTGTGTAAACATTGACATCCAGGCAGACTCTATACAAAGGAACATGTCCAGCAACCTGCTAAATGGACAGCACCTCAGTATCAGAGATGCTGATACTGAGCCTCCCAAAGAACAGACTTAATACCCTCAGAACCACTGGCTAAGAGGTTTGCATATTAGTGCTTTAGGTAAACAGTGTCTGAGAGGATTGAGGTGTCTGTTTGTCAGATGCTACCACCCCTAGCTCTCAAGATGGAGGCTGGAGATCTTGATGATGGTGGGAAGCTAACCTGTTGTTTAGAAGTCTGTGTCTCCATGGGGAAGGGCCTAGGCCTGGCCCAGGATGATGTGGTAGACTTTGGGGAGCCCCTTTTGAGGGCCTTACCCTGCCTGGGGAGTGGAGGGGGGATGGCTAGGGGCAAGTGGGATGTTGGGGAGAGGGGAGGGAGAGGGAGAAGGGATTGACATGTGAAGCAAGCTTGTTCCTAATATGAACTAATAAAATAAAAAAGAAGTCTGTATCTCTTATGCTGAATCCTTTAAACGGAGACTTCACTTTGATTGATTGAGACATAGTTTACCTTCATAAAATTTAACCTTTTTAGTATATTATGCTGTTCACTTTAACAAATACATGTAGTTGTGTGGCTATCACCACAACCCCAAATTTTCTCATGCCCTTTGGAGTCTGTTCCTCCTCCACAACCAACCTCTGTTCACTCTAACCTTGTTCTTTGTTTGGTGGTGGTGGGTGGTGGTAATGGTGGTGATGGTTTGCTCTACTAGGGATCAAATCCAAGGTCTTGCACATGTTGAGCAAACATTCTAGCACTGAGCTACCTCCACAGCTATGTGATACATTTTCTAACTCTATTGTTTTGCCTTTGTCAGGGAGTCATATAACTGGGATCATATATATCCTGGTTTGAGTTGGGCTTCTTTCTCAAAGCCTTTTCATCTGAAGTGTGTCCATGTTATTGTGTGTAACAATAGTTACTTCCTTTTTATTTCTATGTAATATTCCATTGTGGTTCTACTCTTTATCTGGTGATCAGCTATAGGAAATTGGATTGTTTCCAGATCTGGCTCACTATCAATAAAGCCACAGTAAATATTCACGTAACGTTTTGTTTTGTTTTGTCTCCTTGTTTTGTTGAGACCAGGTCTCATGAAGCCCAGTCTAGGCCCTAATTCAGCTATGTAGTTGAGGCTGACTTTTACTTTCCCTACCTCCTACCTCCTACCTCCACCTCCTAAATGCTTAGGATTGCAGGAATTAGATGTCACATTAAGTTTGTGCTGGGACTTGAACCCAAGGCTTCATGAATTCAAGACAAGGTCTCTATATCTGAATTACATACCCAGCCCCTCATACTTTTGTGTGTGTACATGCATGAAAGTGAACATGTTAGCATTTCTTAATTACCAAGAGATGGGCTTACTGAGTAGGCTAGCAGTTGAATATCAACTTGCTGATCTTCAGTGGTGGAGATTAGATGCAAAGTTTTACCACTGATATTCCCTTCCAGTTCTTTTTTAAAATTTTATTTTGAAAAAAAAATCTAAGTTGTCATAACTAACCTCAAACACACAGCCTTCCTACCTCAGTGTTCTCAGTGGCCTGGTTTACAGGTGTCACTACCTTTGGCTAGTTCAACTCTTATTTAAAATAAACAAACAAACAAACAAAAACAGTAAAAGCCAGACATGGTATCACACACCTATAATCAATACTGGGGAGTCTGAGCAGGAGGATCAAGTGAGATTCTATAATTAGAGGAATGGGGGTTGGGTGGGGAGAAACTACTGACTCCTCTAGAGTAGCTGAAGTATGTTGCATTTCTATAAGTTGTTGTATGTTGTATGTTCTATATGCTGAAGTATGTTGCAATTCTATTTGAATTCATGAGAATTCAAAAGGTCTATAATTAAGATGTATGTAACCATCTACACTATTTTAGACCATCTCAGTAGGACTATATGTCTGTTTGGTAGATTAAAAGGCACTTAAAAGTTCTAGTTGGGTTTTGTTGCCTCAGCTGCAGGTACTTTGAGAGGAAGAGAGATGTGCAATAGGGTTGTAGACCCCTATTAATAGCTTAAGTTTTTTATTTATACACAGAACTTCTTTTCTTCCCTAGAAATGTTTAATGAGAATGTTTGACTGCTTGGTAAGACTGTGCCCTGATATTCAGGAAAGACGGGAGAAGCTTTGCAGATGAACTAGGAAAACTAGGATTTCCCAGGTCCTTTGAAGGATCACCAAAGATGTGGTATTGATGACCTCTAAAGATGTCATCTATCAGAAACCTGAAGATGGACATTTCTTAACAGGGTGATCTTTTGAAGACGTATTCAAATTCTCAATTGCCTGAGAACTCAATCTTTTAGGTACTCATCTGAGGGTTTTCAGATTCAAAACATCACTGGGGATGTTTTGCTGTGTTCAATATGTTATTGTTGTTTCTAGTGTGCTTTCTTGGTTACTGTGATAAAACACTGACTAAAACTAACATGGGAGGGAAAGGGCTTATTCAGCTTATAGTTCATCATAGTCCATCATTGAGGGATACAAGACAGGAACCTGGTACAAGAACTGAAGCAAAAACTATGGAGGAATGATGCTTACTGACTTGTGTTTTTGCTCAGTCTGCTTTTGTTTAC